GAAACTACCCATTCGGATTTTTATAAGCCTGAATTAAAAAGAAATTACTTGATACAAATGAAAAGGTTTATAACCTGCAACCTCCTTTACCCAGAGCACTGCTTTTTGCCCAGAATAAACATATCACATACAATACATAGAGGTTTCTTTTAAACCTCTACTCCAAAAATTTAAAGGGCCACAAAATAGTGCCCCTCTCCACAAGTGAGAATGAGAAGGGGCAGACCCATCCTCTTGTTTGTATCTGCCCCGATCAGGTCTCCTGCCCCCCTGGCAGAGCTTTGCTCCTCTCTGTAGTACATTCTCCAGAGCTTCGCTTTGTTTGGTTTAAATGATTAATGCAGCAGAGCTCACAGGTTTTCCTTGGAGAGACTTTCCCAGCCCTTACAGACCTCACAGACAGAAAGGTTTCCTAATATTCAGGCAACATTCTTCTCTACTCACTTTCATTTGATTCCTCCTTGTTGGTCCCACAGATCATGAGGGAAAAAAATAAACCCTTCCCTTCTCAGTGGAGCAGCTCTCCCATGGGAGTAAAAGGAGAAAAGGGAATCTATTTTAAATGGAGCTGGATGGGTTGTAAATGGGATTAGAAGTCATGGTTACTTGAGGTAGCTGAGGTCTGGGCCTGACATTTCAGGAGCCACTTCAATCCTATTACCTATGATGCTAAGGCTACTGGGCTTGAGGACTGAGAGCAGTTGGCATTCCCCAATTTGGGAAACGGAAAGGAGATCCTATGCAATGTAAAGGAAAATGCTTAAAAAATAAGACTCCCTTTACTTTCTTCCTGTCTTTTTCCCCCCTGCTAGCTAGTCAGCCTGTTCAGGACTGCAGTGGTCTGTGGCACTGGCACCGGTGAAGGTGCCACAGCAGGAACTCTGAGGTTGTTGAGGGGAGCACATCTCTGCTCCTTTTCCGACCCATCATTCTCCAGCTGGGAAGGGCATGTCCTTAAGACACTCTGGAGTGCAAAGTGGGACTGAGATCCCCTCGTCCTTCCTGACTTCTAGAGACTCATCTACTTCTTCCACCAGGAGCCCTCTCTGGCCCCACACCTGCTGCTCAGTGCTGCTGGCAGAGGGAAGGTGCTGCCCAGCAGGGCATAGGGCAAGGCTTGGGCACTGGGGAGGCCACAACTGGAACCAGGATGGAGACACACAACATGCACAGCCCTGAGAGGAGCTAAGAAGGGCAAGGTCACCAGTACCTGGCTGGTACACAGGTATTGCTTATGTTTAACATCACGTTGTCTATACCACAGCAGGGAGAGGAAGGGTTGTACCATGGTGTGGACAGGAGGGATGAAGGGCAATTCTGGTACTCACATCATAGACGGAGGAGGGTGGTGGTGGTGGTGGTGGTGGTGGTGGTCTGGCTGAAGGGAGCTGCGTTTCCACCTTCTCTTTCAGGATATTCAGCTGGTTCCTTCTAGGGCACAACACCTGCTCAGGACAAGACACCAAATGACACACTTGGAGAAAACACCATTTCCCCAAAGCTGAAGCGAACACCAGCGTCATGTCAAAGCTAGCTGCTTGCACACCTCCTGAATGCTTCACAGCAAAGAGTGTTGGCAGTGACTGCACAACATGGGCTGGTCACTTTTCTCCCCACAGGGTAAAATGTAGGAGTCTGGTGACTTACACTGAAGCAGTGCAAAGGAGAACTGGGTTCTGTGTGTGTACATATAAACCACTTCCACCACTTAAAGGTTGCCGGGTGAAGGGTTTAAGTATTTAACAGTGCAGAACAATGCTGTAGGACAGCAGGGCCCTGTCCATAGGGCACGGGGGAATTTCAGAGAGGCAAAATGCAATGACTTTTGTCAGGATGCAGCTGGGAAGCTTTTGCTAATACACAGAGTCTAAAGAACAGCACCAAACAACCATTAATGGTGACAGATAGCCAGTGACACAGTAACGTGCAAGTCCAGCATGGAGTTGAAGGAAAAAGGTCTCTTCCTCTGAAATGTTTCTTCCACCAGATGAGTTCTCCTTGAACATGTTCCATTCACGCACAGAGAAGGGTTAGCCCTGCTCAGCAAGTAAGAGAGGAGGCAGAAAAGGCAGAAGGCTTTGCTAAATATCTCTGTTCTAATTCAGAAAGAAGTGGGATGATTATATTCACATCACATGAAAATGATGAACTGCTTTCCAGTCCATTAGTAACTAAGGAGGATGCTAAATAGCTTCTCTTAAAGATAAACATTTTTAAACCAGCAGGTCTGAGCAAGCTGTGGTGAGAAATATGGGCTGCGTTCTGCAGGAGGGCAAATGTAATGACTGCATGGATCTCTTCAGGCCCCAAGGAGAGCCCATAAGTCTGAGACTTGCTGGCCCACCTCAAAAACCAAGAGATGCTAATTGGTGAGTTGTGGCAGTGCCTCTCCTCCTCATCCCCTCGGAGATGCTGTGGAGACAAGCAGAGCTGGGAGCCTGTCTCCAGCCGACTCACTCTGCCGCTCATGCTCCTTCCCCTGCAACAGACTGCCTGCAAGGTAAGTCTCACGAGATCAGCAGGTCTGCCAACTGCTGCCATTCTGTTTTCAACTTCATGATCTCTGACTGTGTGTGCTGAAGCCTGATGTTCCTTAGAGTCATAGGACTGTACAAGCAGCACAGCCTCCACATAAAAATGCATGAAGAGAGTCTGCTGCTCTGGTGGCAGAGAGCAGCTTGAAGGAGTAAATGTGGGGTGTGCTCTACCTAGAAAACAACAATGCTCAAATTTCACTTTAAAAGGCATTCGGTATTTTTAAGCCAGCCTTGAGATCTCTGGAAGAACGCAGAGGATGCTATTTGAACACCTGAGGATGGCAGTACTAGAAGCAGTAGATCTTCCCTAAACGACACGGATTCCAGTATCGTAATTCCACAGGTTTTTCCACAGCGCCCCCATCTCATCCTGATCTTTCAGCCCTGCTTTTGGCTTTTTTTCTCATGCTCTCTAAATCTCAGTTTCTCCATTCTTGGTTTCCCCTTTGCCCTCAGCTACATCCCAGCTCCCACTTCCTTACCCAGGTGGACCCAACCTGTGCCACTAATCTGCTCACCCAAGAGGCCCTGTCAATCCAGTCTTAACACCCTCCTCCAAGATCCAGTGCTTCCTCGCTCCAGATTCCAGTCTCAGTTTCCCTCCTGAGCCTTATTCTTCCAGTCTCACAGAAGGTGCCCCTGGAGATTGTCTAGTCCAACCCCCCCTCTGCACAAAGCAGAGTCAACTAAAGCTTGTTGCTCCTTGGGGCCTTGTCTCTCTCTTATGTTTTTCCCAGTTAGTTGTGATTTTCACACAGGCTTCCTTGGGATCCTTGTCCTGCCCTTCCCCTCTCACTCTGTCTCTTAATGTTTTCTCTGCCAAACACATGCCCAAGGCTCTGGTCTCCATCCCCACCACACTGCAGATTTTTGTCTTCTATGGTGCCTGAGCTCAGGAATGCAGTTGCAGACTCCTTGCAATCAGGTTGTGCCCTTGAACCAGAGTAGCCTCCATACCACAAGAGGATTAGAAAGAGGGAAAGTCCTGACCTCCTCCTGCCATCAGGGTTGCAAGAGACTTGTTTGGGTGCACAGGACATTACTCGTCTGACTGGCAGGTAAAGTCCCCTCAACAGAGGGGTTTTAGACAACTGAACTGCTAAACTGACAAGAGCCATGACTGAGCATGCACAAATGGCAGTTTTCTAAAATCCCATCACAAGGCTATGTCTCCTTGAATATTCTCAGGGCCAGCACTCTGCTAGTGTGGCTTCTTGCCCCCTGTCAAACCCTTGCTCTAAAGCAAAGCATGCCAGAGTCAAAATGATTACCAGAATTTCTTTAATGGACACATCAATGACTTGTTTTGTATTTCCTGTAATCTTTTTTTCTCAGAAAAACTGAACTTAAAAGAAAGAAAAAACCCGAGGCAGACACCCAGCATGGAAAATTTCAGCATAGGGATTTCCAATCCAGCCAAGTTAGAAGCAAATGGAATTAATTCCTAGAACTGGTCATGTCAGGTATTGCTATTTATTCAGTTATAACTTGCCTTTCTTTTCCACAGGAGCAGAGCTGTTGCAGTGATGCTCAATGCAGCAAGAACAGTGGTAAGGGTAATGAGCATTTCCCACCCAGAAGAGGTATCTGTGTGCCCTGTACCTGCAAGAAAGAAGGCAAAAGGTTCCCAGTGTGAGTGTAAGTTACAATCCTGCGGCATTTTTAACCCTGGAAAGAGCCTTGAGAGAACTAAAATACACAAGGAGTGCAGAATATGGTGGCAGAGATGCACACACCCTTCGAAACCTGCTCTGACTGAACAGAGAGCTGGATGCAGCTGCAGAATCACACAGAAGAGGCAGAATATAAGCAGCTGCACTTCACAGAGTGCATTAGAGGGAAGAGACATAACTATGAGAGCCAAGAAAGGTGGTAGGTAGAGGCTGGCAAAGGTCTTTTGTGATAGGAGCAGAAAGAGAGATGGTGGAAAACACACAGGCCACACAAACTAGGAGGGTGGCACTGTCAGAATCCTCTGACCAGTGTAGCAAAGCCATTTTGTCACAGCTCTTTGCATTTACACTAACAAGTTTTTCATACCCAGATTCAGTAATGCAAATCTAGCTAGTCAGCAGCATGAGTGTCCTTATCACTCTTCTTAACACTCCTCTTACATTGCATCAAGCTTTCCCTTGCTTTCCAGTCTGCACATTAACAGACCAACCTACCCCTTGTGCCACACAGAGAAAGGGGAGGGATGTCAGTGAGCCCCCAACAGTGAGTGCTGTACCTGCACATCTGATTACAGCAAGCACACTAACAACTGACCTTATCAGCTGCCTCTGTCACACTGCTGAAGGCCAAACCCCACTGTCTCCTGAACACTGACACCTAAAAGCACCCCCTGACCCAGTGCCCAGGCTCCCTGGATAGACCCTGGCTCCCAGGAGGCTGCAGCAGAGCAGGTAAAAATGACTGCATCTTCATGTCCCCACCTGGGCATCGAGAACAGTAGCACAGGTCACCTGTGCAAAGTGCACTCAAGCCTGATGGCAGTATTTGGCATTCTGCTGGTTTGAAAGCAAACCAGTGAGAGGCTCCAAGTCAGAAGTACAATTTAATAGGGAAAACAAAAACCCCAAATGCAACAGTACAAAAAGAAACCACTGACAGAGTCAGAAAGCAATGTGACACCCTGTCAGTCAGGGTGTTGGGAGTAGTCCCATTAAATAGTGGCTGCAGTCCTCCTGCAGTGATGGGTCTATTGGAGCAGTGATCCTGTAGATCTGGGCTTCACCTGAAGGTCCAGTGGTAGCTCTTGTCCTCTGGGAATCCAGCAGGCAAAGGACCCTGTGCTGGTGCAAACCTCAGTTTATATTCCTGTGGGAATGCTTGGCTCCCCCCCTTGGGGTGAAGCATCTCACAATGGGAAGATGTAATTCTATGGGTCATGCGGTGGGTCCCTGACAGCCCATTGAACAGAGACAGCCCCTGAGGGAGCCAGCAGGGATGAGTAGAAGATAATGACCACTGTCCCACCTGCTTTAACAGCTTGTGAAGATGATAATAGAATACATGCTCTTGGTTACACCCTACATTGTAACCTAGGATAGGCATAAAGCATTATTCCCACCCTATTTCGTAGCATGTTTGGGTACAGGAAAAGAAGAGCAAAAATCCTATTTTCATAGCCAGATCCAGCTGATTTTTAACCTCCTGCCCTTCCTTTCTGGTGGTTCACTCACCTCTAGCAAGGACAAACACTCCATTTCCTCTTTTCTGGATGTCATCCCATTTGACCTTGCAGTAGTATGTGCCAGTGGCAGAGGTGCTTTCAAGAGGCTCAAGTCTATGGATGTAAGATCTCGTAGCAGTCTTATTCTCTTGTCCAGAAGGAATGTCTATGTGTTTCGATATGTTACAGATGGATGTCTCCTGGCCCAGTGAATTAATCCAGTAATAGGAGATTAAAAATTTGGTGTATTTCTGCGTGTAAGGGAAGATGACTTTACAGGGAATGGATATTCCTTCCTTGAGTAGTGCAACCTGGATTGGAGGTTTCTGCTGTACATGGACATTTCCTCCTGTAAGGGTAATAATTGTTAGCAGTCACCTAACATCACTCTCAGTCAGGAGAGGACAGCTGCCCCAAAGACAGGACCACACTGAAAATAGCCCTACGACAGAAAGCACATCCACAGCAGACAGTGTTGGCCCTTGTCAGAAACAGAGTGATTCAGAGCACTGTCCTGGGTGATCTGCCACATCTCTTAGGTAATTGCTGTCTGATCTGTGATAGCCTGATGCATTCACAGGCTTCCCCTTTTCTCTTGTGAGCTCCTCCATACACACCAGCACACAGAAAGGCAGGAAATGAAGCAGGAAGTGAACTGATTTTGCAGTGGTGTGTGACTGTATTTACAGATGGTGAATAGAAAGCAATTTTCCAAGACAAACACTAGCTGGACATCTCCTGAAACTCCTGAGTTGTAAGCCTCTGCCTGGGCATCTACATGTGGCCACGTGGTGACTCTGTGGCAGTGAGGGTGTTGTGCACAGGCAGGTGATATCAGTGGGACTGTGTATTTCTGATAAACGAGGGAGGAAGGAAATTGCATATTCCGTACAGGGCCAGCACAGGGGCCAAGAGAAATAAGCCACCAAACTTTTGCTGCTGTAAATGGGCAGCAGAGCAGAAGACTTGATGCTAGATATGGGAACCATCTGCAGAATGCTGTAGGTCTTAAGTCTCTATACGTGACAGTATCACAGGCAGAGAGAAGGGAGATCCTGCCCTTTGTGTGCTTCCTCCTAACTCATACAGGGCAGTTCAGTAGACAATGATGTTGGGAGTTACAAGAGATGATGAATAAGCACAGATGGGGAACCACACTACAGTTCACTCCCTGTTTTGTTTAATAAAAAGTAAAAAAATCTAAGAGAGAGCCACAGGCTAGTAAGGAGCCTGGGGTACAGGACTGCATTGGCTTCCCAGCCAAATCTGGGTTTAACATCAGGCAATCTTTGGATCTCTTTGGCGGCTGACATAACACCACATATAAACCAACTTAAGAGGAGTCTCTTTAAGAAAAGGAACTGGAAATGTACACACAAATCTTCTTACAAAATGAAGGACTCTTTCAGAGACATGAAAATAGGAGAGGGGAAAAAAACACACAGAGAGAGAGAGAGAGAGAGAGAGAGAGAGAGTATGGGATGGGCAGGCTTTTCCATTCATGCTTTTGATGGGATTCCCTGGAGTTCTGCATCTATAAACAGGCTCATAACAAGGTATTAAAGCTGTCCCAGAGCACAGCCAGCCTTGCTTTCCTGTCATCATGCACTAACACTGCATCACAACAACAGCATCACCTCTGCACAGCAGGAGTTGGCACTGAAAAAGGCAACTCAGACTTAGCACTGCTGAATGCTGAGCACTGAGGAAGCCTGGAGGGAGGGCACAGCCACTACCCAGAAAGAACTGCTGGAAGTAGGATCTGTTAAGGAAAATTCTATACAGATCACATAGCTGGGGACAATGGCCTGAAAGTAAGGAAGAGCTTAGGTTACATCACTAGGAAAAGGTTCTTAGCTGTTAAAGCAACTAAGATACAGTACAGTCCTGAGGGACATGCTCCTTCATTGTGAGCACACAGCCCTGTGTACACTAGGTACACTATTATGGACAGATGGTAACAGCAAATCCTGCAGACACTGTGGGAGTGATAACCCAAATGGTTTCTTTTGGGCCATATTTTTCAAAATCATCCATCATCCTTCTCCTCATCACTACCCAGCAGAACACATATGAATACAGTTTCTATACAAGACATGGCTAAGCACTGCTGTAACAAAACAGAGGAGAGATCCATCTTCTTGCAGTATCCCAGGAGCCATTAGCTTGAGAAGAACATGCTAAGGAAAAAGCCAAACCATTTTATTTAGGTTATCTAACTCGTCTCCCATATTCCTCCTTTCTTGAGGATTGGTTCTCTCAGCTTTGAAATGCTTAAAAGACAGAAATAGCAGCAGCGTGCAAATTCCTAGAGGGGATCTCTGGAAATTAGCAAAAGATAGCAGCTGGAAACACTCTAATATGAAAAAAACATGAGAGTAAACAAAAGGAATTTTAAAAAAACCCACATTTTTTTACCTTCACACTGAAGCAACCAAAGAAACAGGAAGATGACTTTTAGATTCGAGGCCATGATGGAGGTCAAAGGCTGTAAGAAAGCAACCAGACACGAACATCCAAAAGGCAGAAGAGATGGGGGTTTGTCAGGTCAGGCAGCCGGTTGATCCCCTCCTGTTTGTGAGGGGACGGGCAGGGCGAACACACACTGCTTTTGGCAAGCAGTTCCTGGCAGATTCAGGCTCTTCTGCTTTTTGGGCAGACTCCTCCCCACTCCAGGGTTAACTTCTCTCACTACTACCATGGTGTTACACCTACCAGTGGGTGTCCAAAGATTAGACCATAAGCACTTTAACACACAGAGCTTTGTCTCCCAACAACCATCAAGTATCACACACATTTAAAGCAAACTTTGTCACCTCCCACAGTGACATGAACACTCAAGTGTGGGATCACCTGTTTTGCCTTCAACCCAACAAATCAGTACCCACATCAGCAATCAGTACAGAGGAATGGCTACACTGTACTCCTGACTCCACACAACTTCCCTCCACAGCCAACTCCTCCACCAGATCCCTTCAGGGGAAGGTGCTCATATTCACAAGGTGAGAACAACCAGACAGCGAATTCGTCCCTAACAGCTGGGATGTTTCAGATCCACACCACGCTGGCTCTGAATCAGCTTCGCAATGCAGGCAAGCTTTAAAAAAATCTATTGTAGGGAAGTCTAAGGAGAACCCTTTGAAAAGAAAACCCTCTTCTTGTGGGAGGCTCCTGCTGCCTAGACTCATGAAGAGTTGTTTGATTTTGACAAAAGCTTGTTTTTAGCTAAGACATCTGCAATGCAACAGCTGAGCAGCATCTGACTCATAAAACCCTGATGTCTGAGAGGTCTTCACTTCTCTCTAGGCAGCTTCCTACTTTCACACTTCTTGTGAGACATTTGCACTGTCCACAGGAAAGCACTTTGCTGCAACTTCAAGGGTGCCTGCTCACATGGGGTGCTGTGCTGGGGAGCCTGGTGGGGGATGGTCATCGGGGAAAGACCTAAGAAGGCAGACAAGCCTGTATACTGCAAGTCATCAAAATCACTACTGCTTGTTTTATCCCTCCAGAGCTTGTAGGAGCCAGGTTTGCTCCAAAGCAACCTTTGGTTTACAGCATTTTCCCTCCTGTTCAGCCTAGGACAGGTCCTCAGGAGGAAGGGGCCTTGACACAGGGGGAGGTGTGCAGCTGCTGTGGCCCCCTGAGCCCAGGGATAGTTCCTGTACCTTGCTGAGAGTCCTGGCAGATGGGGAGAAGAGCAAATGGCTTTGTGTGGCTCTGCAAGGCTGGTGCAGCAGCTGCACTCCTCCAGGGAAGGTTTAGCTCAGATTAGCCAAAACCAACTCCTCTCCCCAAGACACGCTGACGTGAGCTGCACGGGGCTGGTCTCAGCTGGAAATCAGTCCTCGCAGGTCTTAACGCTGAGCAGTGAGGACAATCAGGAGCAGTAACAAGACACTTGGGGCCCACTTGGTATTTCAGATATGGAAGGGCAGATCAGGCAGCTGTGGCTCTGGGGTCACAACAGTGCTCGGCAGCATTTCTCAGGCCTGAACAGCATTTCAAGGTAGTTGGGGCAGGCAGGGAGAAGGAGGTAGAGGCTCACTACCCTCCTGTGGAAGAACTCTGCCGAACAGCGAGGGCTTCCTCGGCTCTTCTATTGCACTCATCCCCATGGTAGCACACAGCTTTGCAATTTCCAGCATCGATGTATTTCTAGAGCACAGAACATGCTGCTCCTGTCAGTGATGTGTTTTAACTGTTATCGGCGTTTATCTGCTTCAGGAATTCAGAGTGATAAGTGGATTAAGTGTGGTAGGTTTGTAGGGGTGCTAGGTCAACGTCATCCTCCTGTCCTTTCCCTTCTCTTCCCATAAACAACCCTGTTGCCACTCAAAATGCCAAGTCCTAGAAATATCGCTGTCTGGAATTAAAAAAAAAAAGTATCTAGCATTTCAAAAGAGATCACACATAAGACTCAGCTGTGGGATTAAAGGCACAGCCAGGCCAGAAATACATTCACTGCTGGGATTTGCTATGGTAGAGCTCACTGAAAAGAAATGGCTTTGAAACGACTACCCAGCAGCTATTAACTGCGAGACAGGATGACATTCTGTTCCTCAGAGCCTAAAGGGAGCCTGAATCTTTGAATGTTAAATTCTAATTCAATTTGGTCTGGGGATTCTGGACTGAGTTTTAACCCTGGAGACATAAATGGGAGGAAGATGAGGAAAAGCTGGGGAGTTGTGTGTTTCTATTACCAGCCTGTAGTGGGGCTGACCGCCCTGAAACTTTGGTGGAACTAACCAGGACACCTGTGCCAAAGGAAATAAATTACAAAGCTCCAAAGGAACAGGTCACTGTATGACCTTCACTCATGCATTATACAGCACAGTGCTGTGTGTGAGCTGGTCCCTGCAGCATGACAAGGAGGGAACTGCCTGGCCAGCTGTAACCTCACCACAGCACTGACTGCCCAGGATCTGTCTGGCTTGGTGCTTCTTTGATGCAGTGAATGCTGACACTTCCCCAGACTAAATACAGGACTGGGCTAGGTTCAAGCCACAGCTTCTGCTTGTAGCTGGAAAGTGACTATTAATTTCACTCAAGCACCGTTAAGAGCCTGTGACAGTGGCCAGCATTGCAAGCCATGGGGAAAAGCACGCTGCTCTGGTACATGCAAACAACGAGTCTGGGCAAGCGCTGCACCTACCAGAACTGCCTATTCACAGCTGTGTCCAATGTACACCCACACGGAAAGGCTCACACACACACACACGTGCCCACACATGCCCCCACAGCCAACTCCAGGGAAGGCATTCATTCCAAGAAAAAGGCTGCTGCTAGCCAAGGCAAAAGCAACACTGCAGAGATCACAACAAAGCCTCTCTATTGCTGAAGCGTTTAACACCACAACCATCCAGAAGAGAAACACGGCTTGGCGCAGAGAAGAGCTGCAGCAGCTCCACAAGCCTGATTGCAGGGAGCATTTCGAGCACTCCCCAGCACAGCAGCTCCGATTTGCTGCCTTGTCAGAGCCCAGCTCAGTCCCTAGCGCTGGAGAGCGAGACAGCGCAACACTCGCACCTCAGAGGGTTCAGTCTCTCTGACTCTTCTAACCCCAAGTCTCCGAGGCGCAGAGTTTCCCTCTGCCTGGCAGCAGGAGCGACAGCAGAGCCAGCACGAGCAGGGCCGTACCTCTGCCAGCAGTTTTAGCACTGTTGTGTGTCGAGAGTCTCTCAGCAGGGCTGGACGGTGCCGAGGCCAAACCTGCCAAAGCCCTCGCTATGTTTCTGCCCATTGAACTGCTCGAGGGAAGAGAACAATCAGCCACTTGATCGGAAAACAGGAAAACAAAGGTGTTAAGACTACCGTGGGGACAGGAAGAGGTACTTTTATAATTCCCTTTCACCAGCAAAACGAGCCTGGCTCAGAAATCACCCACTCCTGCTCCTTCTCTGTTCACCTGCTGGAAAGATTCCTGGAGACTAAATTACCACCGCAGGCCTGGAGCTCCCTACGGCTTTCCCCAGGCTCCCTCGTACAGCTCCCCGGAGGGGCAGCTCTGCCT